GGCTTCGACTCTGTCCATCCTTCCCTGGTTGCTGGGCCTTGGCGCAAGGTAGGGGTTGGAACTGGGGATTTGCATTGGGTGCGAGCCGTAGGCCGCCTGGGTTTGCGGCGTGTGGCCTGTGGACCTTGGCGGTAAGATCTTCCTGGCTCGGCAGACAAAGTATGCCGAGCTCTTGGCCTTTCTGCCAGGGAGGGTTTTACTGCCAGTAATTTTTTTGTACCGTATTACAGTGAAACGATGAGACTGCAAGAGAAGCTTAAGTGCTTGTAGTTGAGTTAGTGCCTTACAACTGGCCACGCGGTGTATTTTAAAATAGGCTTTAAGAAATACTCTGCCATTTCCTAATGTTGTTTAACTTGGGGAGCTTGGCACCTGCAGTAGCTTTCTAAGTAGAGCAAGGTCAGTTGTAATCTTTCAGCTGCTCTTCTGTTTATTTGCTTGTAAAATAATGTCTGGTTTTGACTGAAGCTTGTACTTGGATTAGAAATAAAGGTCATTAAACGTGAAAGGTACATTGGAAACTGATGTTTCTATGGAGATGGGGACATATGATATCTTAAAAGATTTTAGAGCTGTAGACTCACGTTCTTGCAAAAGACTGAATCTTCAGCAGACGATGCAATAATGTGAGGTCACTTTCTACTTCCGCTCTTATTTTAAAGCAGGTCAAAGTTTTTGTGATGGAGGTTGATAACGTAGAAGATCCTAGGACAAGGTTGTTAAAAGAAGCTGTATTCCCAGCTGTTCAGTATGAAGGGGGCTATATCAATGGCAGACACTGCTCACAAGGTCTTCACATTGAGAGTAATATAACTGCATTTCATGTAGAGTGGAGGAATTACGTAAACTACTAATTAGGCTGTGTGTGTCTTAAAGCTATGACTAGGAACATGGGAGGACTGCTTATCTCTTCTGGTCCATTGCTGGCCTACCTTAATAATCTCAGAATCTGCTGAGTACACAGTAGGACAAAATTGGCTGCACTTAGGTGGGTCCCTTTTTCCTCAAACACATAATCAAACTCCCATTTTAAAACGTTACAAGTGATGCTCTCCAAAGACTAGTATTCTGCTATTTTTGTGTATTAAGATTGCTGTGGTTTTGAAGCTGACATTTTTACTGTTATAAAATCATGATTAAGAAAATAAAGAAAGGCTGTAAATGTGGCTGTGAATGTGAAAAAGTCAAGTGTAGCAACATTAATCTTAGCTTACACTGGTTTTGTAACAATTCGAAATGCTCTTTTTTGTTTGGCTCATGGAATAGGTGATGGAAAAGTAAATCTAAAGCTTCATCTGCATTCAAACTGTCATAAAAGCTTACTGTTACTAAAAGGGAAAGGTCTTGCCCTTGTATTTCCCTGGTCTTGACTGCACGGTCCTGTTCCCTACTTTGTGTTGTCACTTGATTTCCTGCTGGATTTTTACTTGGATGATGTGGTTTTCTTCCACTTGAATGACTTTTTTGCTGGGTCATTTCTTAGCTGTTCTAGGGAGTTTAAGTCAGCTCACAAGTGCATCCTAGATGACATTCTAAGTTAGGGGAGGAGGGAGTGGAATCCTTGCCCCTGTTGGCAGTGGTGCACATAGATCAGTTTCCCATGGGACTGCACCTTCATCCTTAGTTTTTTCACCCTTAACTAAGATAATACAAAGAAAACTTATATTCTTCTTTTCTCCATTCAGTGTAAAGAAGGTAACAACTTAATTTTTTTTTTCTCTTCTTACAGGAAGAGGATGATTGGAAGGAGTTTGAGCAAAAGGAAGAAATTGATTATAGTGGTCTTAGAGTTCAGTCCATGCAAATAAGGTACTACTTTTTTCTTTTTCTCTCCAGTATAATCATTACGTATGTCTAAAGTATGCTCTTTCTTCAGAGCTGCCACCATGGAGTCCAGTTAAACAAAGGTTTGATATGTTTCTGCTAGTATGGAAGTTTGCTGCAAGGTAACTTACATTTGATTGTTCTCTGCCAATGTTCTCTTTATTTTCTAAATCTCTGTTGATATTTTAGGTCTCAAATTTTTATTACAAATGCCTAACATTCCCCTCCATAAAGAATAAAGTAGGAATTTCTCAGAGGAGTGCAGGACAGTAATTCCCACTAAATCATTTGACTGCTGTAGGGGTCTGTTTTGACTGCTGACTTGGTCTGTTCAGCATCTCTGTCTGGGGAGTGAATTCCTGAACCATTGCATTTTTATTTCAAAAAACTGAAAATATAGTTGGTAAAACTAGTGTCCCATGACAGGATCCCACAGGACTGGTCATCCAGGATTCTTTGTTTGCTTTTTCATTAGATTGTTCCCATAGTCTGGTCCAAAGTAAGTCTACTTAAGTCTATCTTGGTTAAGAAAAATGTTTCATCGGGTCAGAAAAAGGACATTCTTTTTAAAGAGTGTCAGTCTTAGACTGAGAATGTCACATAATCATCATTGTCCAGGTATTGATGATGTTCAGAATAATGTCATCTTAAAATCATCTTACCTGTAACCAGTGCAATAGATGCTTTCTTCACTGTTTGAGCAGGTCTTACATATTCTTTGATTCATTTACTTTTTTTAACTAACACCCACCCGTCCACCTACCCCTTCAGCTAACTAATCCTTTTAGACCATTTTGCACGTATTTGGTCCACAAGTTTTCCATACCATTGAAGTGTCACAGTGGATAATCACATGTCAGAATGGACAAGTAATAAGTGGGCTCCTGCTTCACTGACTACTAGTACTGTTTGAAAAATGAGTACTTGGGTTTTCCAGACAAAGGCTGGCATTCTGAATGCTTTTGATGCTGTGGGCAGATTTTCAGGCATGTGGAAGTTTCTGCCACAGGATTTTGTAACCACTCAATCAGTGGATTCAAGAGGAGAGTGGAGAAGTAAATGGAAGAAAAACCCACTGGCGGTTATAAATTATCCAGCTCTGGATATCTTTTTGCTGAAAATAAGACATAGAGTATCTGGTGGGGGTGTGATGTTCTGTGTACTTACTCTGTTCTGGCTAGTCTGTAGGTATCTGCTTTTGACTGTAGTTTAAAATAGGACAGTGATGTGCTTTGGCCCTTGGTTCAGCTGACTATGATTGTTACTGTATTTGGAAGAATAGTGAAAGGCAGTTTAATTTTCAGAAATGGTAGGTATTTTTAACTGTTCTCTGATTTCATATACTGAAACCTTATCCAATCATGATTAGTAGGATTTGGTGTATTATAAACTTCTGTATTCACGCTTTGCTGCTGCTGTTCAGATCAGTGTCTTGAGTTTTTCGGTGGCCTCACCTGCCGTATATGTCCCATTATACCACACAGCTTTCTGTAGTAGCTTTGTCTGGCAAATTATTTTGAGTGTCTGACTATTTCTATGCAAAATAAAATTGTCTAAATAAAATACAGTCAGGCTGTTGCATAGCATTTATCTTTTTAAAATGGCATGTTTTACTTTATTTTTGATTGCCTGATTTAAAAAAAATTGAGTAGGTTTGTAGATTGTATTTGTACGGGTAATATAAGAGTGTTTCTCGGGTGGTTGTGGTTATTGGGAAAGGGAGCTCAGGACTTGCTTTAGACAAGAGGAAGAAATTGTGGAAATGTAGTGACAGAAAGCATTTTATGGAAACTGGACTTGTAGCCCTTTCCTGCTTTATCTTCTCATCACTTCCGAATGCACGACTGTCTTTGTAAGAAAAAAGTCTTTAAGCTCAAAGTAAGAAATCAATGTATTTGATCACTTAGTACAGTTTGAATGTGTCTTTTTTAATGAACTTTATTCTTTCTCAGTTGTGAAGTTATGTAGCAGTGTGCCAAAAATTGTTCAGATGGAAGTACTAATAGAGCAGTTACAGGACTAACGTAGTCTGGTAAAATCTAGTATCCAGTACAGTAGCCATGAATTCTTGTCTATGGCGATTGTGTAATCTCTGGCAAGTCTTAAACCTCTGTTTGTAAAATGCTAGTTGTCGTTTCTCTTTTATAGTGAAAAAGAAGATGATGAAAGTGAAAAAAGAGAAGAACCCAGTGACAACTGGGAGGAGACTGGTGGTGGTGTAGACAGATCATCTGGTCCTTGGAACAAGTCAGCTCCTGCACCAGCACCTGTTGTTGAACCAATTGGTAAATTTAACTCGGAGTTGTTGGTTTTTCCAATCAGAAGCACATCAGCTTGAATTGAGCTGCTCAGAGGTTAGAGCTCAAGGAGCAGTTCTACTGAGGCACCTTCTAACATACTAATGGCTTGTTTGACGTACTAGCAAATGAGGACATTCTCCTTTCAAGGGATCTGAGGAACTGAATTTGATAGTACTGTCAGATACAGTAAACATGAACATGGAGCGGTTTTTGTTAAGAACTTAAGAATATTTTCTTAAGATTGTTACAGAATATCCAAATAGTTCGTATTTAAGGTATCTGGAGAGGTGCTTTACATAACATTTGACAAATATAATGATGTGTTTAAATTTCTAGTTTTAAATGTAAGCTGCAAATAAGAAACATGAAGTCCTCATCAGTGGTTTTGATTCCCTGAACTTAGTGAGGCAATACGCTGGAGCCACATTTTAATTTGACTACCAAGTATAGGTTAAATTAGGTGACACCTGGTTTCCTGCCTTGCCTAAAATACCTGCTTCCAGAGCTTTAAAAGGCACAAAAACATACTTGTATGATTCTATTCCTCTCAATTTGTTTGTTGTTGGTTTTTGTGGGTTTTTTCACATATGAATGCAAACTTACTCTCTTGTCTAAATCTTGTTCTTATTACAAATAGTTACAGAAACCCCAGAACCAGTTCAGACTGGTGGTGTATACAGGCCACCTGGTGCCAGAGAGGGTGGCAGGCCACGAAGAGCACAGCAAGGACCACCAGAAATTTACAGTGATACGCAGTTTCCATCACTGCAGTCCACCGCCAAGCTTGTAGACAGTCGAAAGTAAGTACATTCAATTAGTTCCCTAAGAGACATATTTTAACTGCCTTCTCTAAGTTCTTATTTTGTTTTAGGGCTTAAGCCCGAATCTTTCCACAAAGGAAAGAAATAACTTAAGAAATTACTCTGTTTGGCAAGGAGATATGGGAGAGGTCTTAACGGTATATTCATACCCTAGGAAGGGCTTCCCATTAAATAACTTTCATAGAACATAGCCCAGTGAGATAGCCAAACTAGACTGCTGGTTACCTTACCTTTGACTTGCTGAAGGATTTCCCTGAAGCAGAATATTTAAGCTCTTGATAGTATCTGGTTCCCTGAGGTCCTAGCCACGGTGAGGCTCTGGGTTAGTACTGCCAGTAGACCTGAGTAGGATGTCTTGAGCACACTGCCTTCTCATTAGAGATGTGAAGGTAACTTAAATGGAGGAATGGGGTTTAATACAAATATAAATCAATAAACTTGCTGTCTAAGCTGTGGTTTAAAATGATGAGCCTCCTCAATTTTTCTGAAGTGTTTAGTATTTTGTGGTGCTGAAGACTTGAGTCTCTCCCTGCCTTTGAATCCTGATCTTCCCATAAGTTCATTCCCTACAGAAGAGATAGCTAGGCCAATAACCTAATTCATGTGGGTTTTGGGGGCAGGTCTTGTTTTGTTTTTCCTGCTTGCTGTATTACTGACTAATACAGCCTAACAGAAGCTTTTTCTTCTGTGTTTTTTTTCCTGGTGTGGCTTTGTCTGCTTGGCAAATGAGACATGCTGTCATTAATGCTTTAGGGTTTGAAGGTTGCAAATGAAGCTAAGACTAAATCCTGAGCAAGCATTCTAGAAATGGACCTCTGCTTTCTAAAACCTATTTTTCATAAATGCACTTAAATTTACTTTTGAGAATGTTAATATTGAAGTTTAGAATGTAATCTGAATTGTACTGGGTGATGAGCTTGATTCTGAAGATACAGTTTTACAAGATTTGCTTGGGAATGTTTGGCTGGTCTGTTAAAACTCTAGACCTTAGTGTACTGTGTTCATAATGTTTTTGCTGGGATGGGGTGGAAATCTACTAGAAATTCACGACTCAGAAGCTAGTGATAAGATATTTACTGATTACATTTATTTTCCCTTAGGGATAAAGAAATGGAGAAGAGCTTTGAAGTAGTAAAACACAAAACTAGAGGTAGGGATGAGGTCACAAAAAAACAGGCACTTAAACTTCAGCTAGACAACCAGTATGCTGTGCTTGGGGATCAGTAGAGCTGCATACACATTACAATTAAGGAATGCTTTTTTGGTAACCCTTCTACTAAGGTAACTAAACTACAGCTAACGGCTATGATGAACATGCCACCTTATTTCTGCTGGATCTACTGCAGCAAGTGCAGACTACTTTGACGTAAGTGATTGGTTCTCCTGCACTGTGGAAGCATAATATGTTACAACTTCTCCATTGGATATGGGGCAGATTAATGTAAATGATTGAACAAGAGTCATCAGTGTTCTTTAATTGCTGAGAGAGATACCTACAGCCAGTGGTCATTTCAAAATCTTTTTATGTTCAGATACTGAGCCTTCGTAAAGGTTGACTACCTCAGACTTGCTGCACTCATTGTGGACACCATGTGGATCACAACTTCTGGAAGAGAAGGTTACAGCTGTTTTAGTGGCCATCTGAAACTTGAAACCAGCTCTACTGGATTCCTGTCAGAAATCCTGCAGAAGTCAGCCATTTGGTTCCAATTTGCTATAACAAAGATTTAAGTGACCTTAATGACAAACCTATTCTGTTCCCCTTCTGAGGAATCCTGCCATGTGTAGCCATAGCCTACTAGAGACTTCTGGAGCATACCATACCACTCATACTATCTAAGTAAAACAGAGCTGTAGTTTGTTTACCTTTTTAGATAGCTGTACTGAAGTAACTGCAAAACAAATTAAAACTCGTTCAGTATCAGATTTGAGGAAAAGTGGGTTTGAATGGTCTGTTTGCATTAGCTGTTTTCACAGTTGTCTGTTTAAGAATTTTTTCCTATACTCCACAAAAAAAATTGCCTGCCTTGTTTCTGCTGTCAAATTGCAGTATTTTTAAATAACGATGAGATATAGTGAAACAGAGTTTATTTTATTTTTGTCATGAGGCTTGTCTTTCTCACCCTGAAGCGCTAAGATATAAGAGATTTGATTTTGAGTATCCAGACTCCAACTACAGTCTTCAGAATTTCTCATCTAAAAATTAGATATGTGGCAGTAGCAGTACTAGATAAATCTCTCCTCTGTTAAAAATAGTTATTTGTTTGTTGAAGGGTAATGGTTACTTGATAACCAAAATAACTTAGTATGCAGAGGGATAACTAAAGCTGGTAAGCCTTATTTGTTTGGCTACTTCTGTGAAGCATGCAGGCTTTTTGAGGCAGAAATCCTCTAAGTAAAACACATAAATGGTGTTTATTCAAAGTTGCGAAGTTTAGTAATAATGGAAGGCAATGACTTCTTTAAGTTGCTGTCATCTCTGATTTAATTTAGTGGAGGTAGGCAGAATGGTGCTGATACATTGAGAATATAGGACATTGCCTGTAACTTGAATGATTCCATGAATGAAACCTGTCAAGTACCAAAAGTGTCCTGCTGTAACTGTTTCTCTTCTCTGAATTCTTACACCAGAAGCAAAATGAAGTACAATAGTGGCGTGCTCCAGTGCTGGGGTTTCTCAGAGTAAATGCCAAAAAATAGACCCAATATCTAGGAGTTGCCAATGGCAAGAAAAACAAGGGAACAAAACTTGTGTGTGGGAGTACTGTTTATGTGCACAAGATGAGGATAGTGCAGGAGTTGCCTACTTGGGTTCCCTTTGACTAACTGCTGACTCACTTTAAATCTGCTTCTCTGAGGCCAATGGGAATTTTGCTGTTGACTTCAGTGGGGCTGGGGTTTCACCTAGTTCGTTTGTGCGCAGACTAAAACTGGCCTTGCCCTTGCAGAGTTAACTGTCTCTAAAACTGCTGCTAGAAGCTGCTATTAAAGAGAGGGCTCAAGAGACTAAAAGTTGGAGACTTCATTTGGAAACAAAACCCCACTGAAAGACTGATAACCCATACCTTGGACTCTGAGCCATGTATCTTCCTTGAAAATATATTGTTGCCAGCAAAACTGTTGATTTGTCACTGAAGATTTCTATGGAATTCATGGTAAATGGACATGTCACTTGGTGTGGTAGAAATGTGAAAGTTTAAAACACTTTTCCTGATGCTATAAAGTAATTGAGATCACCAATGCACATGAATCAAATTTTAGTCTGTGTGAAGGGTAGATGAGACTGTCCATTGTACCATCTTTATTTGAGGTTTTGGGCATGAATTCTGGCAGTTCAAGAAAACCCTGTAACAGTTTCAAATCAAATAAAATGGAAATATACATGGATTCTGGAGTCTAATGAATCTTTACCTTTAGTTCTAGCTTATGACTGTACAACAACTGAGGAATGCAGAACATGTGGATCTCTTAAGAGACAGGCCATGGAGTGGGTAGTCAGCCTTATGGTCAGGTGGGCTATGTTTTAAGAGCTTATCGCAGTGCATATTAATGATTTTTATTTATACATAGAAGTTTAGTTCGCTAGCTGTCAGAGTGTCTTCTTACTCCCACCATACAGGACTGGTTTGAGATTGTGAATTGAGTATGAATGAAGCTTTGATTTGCTTTTCACTTGGAAGTAGCTCTGCTAAATTAAAGAACAAAACCCACCCCCAAACCTCTGGATGGTTGCGGTCACTGGAGTCTATCAGCTACTGATAGATAACTAGAGGTGTTATTCTGGGGGCTTTGCTTAAGCCTATCATTCCAGGTTCTTTCTGGAAACATAAAGGAAAAAGACATGCAGTACAGAATGTTAAACTATTTTAAAGTGTTTCTTGTGTTAAATATTGCTGCCAGCAACTACCCGAATACCAGTTGTCAGTATCTTCCTTGTAACAATTAACTGTTCTGCGTGCCTGAAATCTTAAGTCAGTCCTCTGTGGAAGCTCAGTATGCTTTTGAGACTCTGAAGTCCAACTTTATCTGGTTTGTTGTTGCATTCATTTGAGGCATGCTAAGAACGTCCATCTCATTCCTTCAAAATGCTTGTTGAAGGCTCATTCCATAAATGAAGGATTGTCAGTTGTAGAAATGGGATTCTTGATACCAGTCAGTAAAATGCAATTGTGTGCTACTTCAGAAACTTCCTAACCTGTTACATGCTTTTATGGTGGGTTACTTGTTAATTTCCAATTTAAAGGTTCTGTTTTACTTTCTCTGGCTTAAAATAAAAACAGCCATAAAGTTACCAACTTGCTAGTAGAACATTTAAATGTCCAGTACTTACTGGGAAAGGAACAATTTGGATTTGTGATTCTCAGTGATACAGTCTGTATTTAAGGAATGTTAAAATGCCAAAACCTAGTAATTTTAATAAAGTTGGACTTCTCAAATGCCTGCTGTAGGAATCTGGCATCTGTATTTACTGGAGCTGATGATAAATGTATGAGAGGATTAGGTTTTTCCCCCCTCCCTGCCCCAGTTTAGCTGTGCCATGTTTAATCTTACTCACAAATTAAGAGGAATTGACAACTGAAAGTGACCATCTCCTGCTCCTCCAGTTTTGTCTTTGTACCTCGCTTTACCAGTCATGCCCCAAGTAACTCTCTTACAAAACTTATGAATAGGTGAGCTTTTAATTGTACAAATTGTATTGGAGACCTGACACTACAGGGACTAGGGGTTTTGGTATTTGACTGCATCTGTTGGCTCTTGGAAACTCTTTCACCACAAGGTGGCTTGAGACACCTGTGCTGTTTAGGTCAAGTAAACACAACATACATTCAATAGGGCTGCACTTGGGATTTGCTATTTGAGCTTTTGCAATAGTTGTATCTTTTTGTCCTTCCAATTTCAGCCTGGTTGAGCAGTTTTAAACTTGCTTGTGGTTTTCTGTCAAGTACCATAACTAAAATGGAGCAGCTGATTCTTTTTTTCAGACTAACAGGGCTTCATGTGCCTAAAAGGTGTTTATTTACAAGGTAGTAATATTATTCTTTCCAATATTGACATGGTCAGAGAAATGAATACCTCATGTGACCAATTTGTATCAGAGGCCCAAGAAACTAGATTTTGCCAGAAACACCTCAAGTACTTAAAAAGCTTTATGAATAGCCACAACCGACTGTAATTCACTTCTCAAATTGTTCCTCTGTTTTGAGCTTTTAATTTCACAAATTGGTGTTAATGGTAAATAGGGGATCTATTTGGGAATATAAGAAAATAACATGCCTATTTAAATTTCAGATATATAAATTAGGTATGTACAAAAAGGGAGGAAATCTGGCATATATTTACTGATTAAGTTCTTCAGAAAAAGTTAAAAAGTCAGGTTGTATCGAGGCTAATATAAGAACCTGCAAGCTGTAGCAGATGGAAGAAGAAATGACAGGAGAAAACAGAACTGAGGAGTCTTAATACTGATTTGGTTGTCATAACTATCTTGTATCTAGAGTTTGGCTTCTGAAGCACCAAGTGTAGTTCCACGGTGTTCTGTTTGAAGTGAAATAGAACACGAAGGAAGGCACTTTTTTTTTAAATTAGGGAAAGTGGAAATTATGCAAAGAAAACATGGGAGGTATAAGAAGAGAAGGATTAGGAAGGCCATTCACTAAATAGTATTAAAGGCATAGCCTGAGGTAGGGAGTGGAATGTAAGTGGCTGGGTAGAAGTGCTGCATGGGTAAGCACTGCTTTCACAAGTGACAGATCCATCTGACTTTAAATCAGCAAAACTGTATGAAGTTTGGTACTTGGGGGGGGGGGGGGGGGGGGGGCTTTATCTGTTTCCCTTTAAAGAAAAGAATTGGGAAAACCTGTCCAAAGAGAAGGTAGAGTTTTGCATTTGTACAAAGCTGTCTAACCAGTTGCCTGAAGAGAGAACTGAGAAAGGACAAATTCCAAGGTAGTCCATCAAACTTGCTAGGAAATAGCTTATTTCATATTTAAGAAAGCTTTTTTACTTCTGCATGATAAAAAAACTGAGATACAGACTCAAAGTGCTATGAAGAAATTTCCTTTTTTTGTGAAGCATCTTCTAATGGTATGTATATCCTGTTTTTATGTTCAGTTGCTGAGAATATGTTGATGTAGCAAGGTTAATGAAGTTCAATGGACTGCTTAGCCAGAATACAAATATTAAAAATGTATCACAGTATTAATGAAGCACCAGAAAAAGTAGTGCATCTGGAATACTGGAATGGAAAGTATAACCTAAAGCAACTGTGTGCACTGAAAAGAAGCAAGCCTATTTTGTAACAAGAGCATAGGACCAAGAGAGTGGATTTGGTTTTCCACTGAGCTGCTGTGTTACCTTCAAGTAATTTAGTTTCACTTTGCCTCAGTTTCCCCAGCTGTACCAAAAAAACCCAACAACCTACCTCACAGGGGTGTTGTGAGGCCAAAGCTGTTCTTTGTCAAGGGCTGAGGCTGATGGAAGGCGCTACAGAGGACTAAAAGTCTTTATTAAAAGATCTTTTAATACATTAGCTTTCATTACAGTATTTTATTACTACTTTGGGAAAGGCTTGTTTCTACAGAATGTAACATACATTCTCTTTAAGTATTACGTAATTAGACTTACTCTATATATGGGTAAGGAAGAAGTTCAGGGTGAGCACTCCAGCTGGCATTTCCTCTAATTATCTGTGCAACCCAAATGGTATACCAATATGAGGATTTTTGTTGTTACATGGACTAAATTAAAATCAATATTGCTATATCTTGTAAACCCTGTGACTGAAATAAAATCCTGCTGACAGTTGATAGCCATCCCTTATAATGTGGCTGTTCTAAATTTTGTTCAAAGAGTATGAACTAGAAATGTTCACTCCTGAAAGCGTATCTTTACGTCAGGATACTAAGTGGTATTTTGTAGTAGGAAATGTGGAGAGGAAAGATGAAGGGAATAAAACAAAGGGAAACCATTGTTGATGGAGAGGTTTCTGTGAAATAGCTAAAGGAAAGAAATGATCAGAAGATAGGGCTGAGAGGGGAAGGAATACAGATAGAGAAGAGGTGTTTACCCTATTTACTATTCTCTCTTGTTTTATCAGTTAATTGCAGTTGAAGGAACATGAAGTAATTTTTACGAATATGCCCTTGTCTGCTGTTGCTGGTGATTTCAAGGTTCATTGCTCAGCTTTTACAGTGGGCC